TGGGGAGCATCACCTGCTGGAAACCGGGTCCAGCGTCCCACTGACAAGATCGGAGGCAATATGCATAGTCTTCTCGGCTAAGTCGTTGGGTCACATTTCCAGACTTGGTAAAGGCGCTGCAAGAGCTCGAACCACAATTACCTTCGAGCCTCTTTTTCGGAGCCAGAGTACAACTGCGCACCAAGCTTTGCCAAACCACCAGCGCGCCGCCAGCCGTTTTGGGCCAGTGGCGCCTGTCCCCCGAAGAATGTGGTATAGGTTATACTCACGGATTAGCCTTCGCCGCAAAAAGGTAGTGGTAGCCTTCGCCGCAAAAAGGTAGTGGTGGTGTAAGGGAACTTTCCAATACTGTAAGGTTGTTCTTCACGAACTCGATAAATCCACCTCGTCGACCCCCAACAAAGCCAAAATTGACACGGAAACTCCCCTTCAAAGACTCAGCGGCGAGGCGATCGTAAGAGCTTCCGTGCTTCAAACGACAAAAAACGGCAACCGACGAATGCTATAGAAGACTTCAACAGATCCAATCGATCCAGGTTTCAAAAGACTCTTAATTAAGATTTCCCTTTTTCCTTCTTGGATTTGCGTTGTTGCCTGAGCTTCGCAGTGTTGCCTTGCTCTCATATTCATGTGATGATATATACTCCGACGTTGCTAGCTCTCTGCTTTTGCTGATGATGCGGCGAGCGTTGGGCCTGTACTAGCAGGCTTTGTCTTTTCTTATGGAAGAGAATATTTTTTTAATCTGTTGTATATTTTCCTTCTTTTCCTTAATCTTCCCTATTGTTGGGATGTTGCGTTTTGCGGGCCTACTGAATGGTTCCGTCTTTTTACTATGGATATGGTGGAATGTTTGTTTWGTGAATGAGAATCTTGTCTGCTTCGATTCCGGTTGGCCTTGTCCCGTTATTTGGTCTATCTTAGGGAGGGATGSCGGTGCTTCATGTGGGATTGGTCATCCGGTTATCGTTCTGCAGGCAAGYGTGTTTTGACATCCTGGTTGGTCTTGTCCCGTCGTTTGGCCTGTAGTTGTCGGGGGCGGTGCTTGCATGTGGGACTTGTCATCTAGGATTGTCATTTAGGATTTGTTTYAATCTTGTCTGCTTCGATTTTGTTATTGGGCATCCTGGTTGGTTGTTTCCCGTTGTTCGGTCTTTTGAGCGCGGGGCGGTGCTTGTATGTGGGAATCGTCATCCGGGATTGTCTTCTCTTTCTTTTTGGTTGTYACACTGGGATCGGAGCCTTTCTTTTTGTTTTCTTTGTAGACAATAATGTTTTGATATCCTGGTTGGTCTCGTCCCGTCGTTTGGCCTGTGAGTTGGGGTGGTGCCTGTATGTGGGACGTATCATCTGGGATTTGTTTTGTTGCCCCCTGTTCTGTATTATTTGGTTGTTCCCTTCCTCTTTTCTTTGCCTCTTTGCCTTCTGGCTGTGTGCAAGTGGGTCGATATGACACACGGGGGTGGGGGCAGCTGCCGCTCAACCTACATCCACGTGGGCGGCCTTGTACGCAAGAGGTTCTGAACAGGGGGAGTTGTAAGGAAGAAGATATAAAAGAACGAATTCATTCTTTTTTCTTTTTTTTTCGCTTTTGCGCTCTCATATTCATGTGATGATATATATATATATATATATTCCTATCCGTTGGATAAGTCCCAGGTTAGCCACGATTTAAGACTCAGAGAAAAAAAAAAAAAAAAAAAAACTATTGACCATGACCACCGATCGCAGTCCATCCGACGTTTGACATGTATAAGGCACTCGAGGTATCAATAAACTGTGTGTGTACAAGAGAGAGAGAGAGACTTGGAGCAAATATTCAATGCCATTTCTCAGCAGAAATGACTACCATCGGTCATTCATCAGACATTGAATATGCATACAACAGTTGAAGGCTCAACAAACTGTAAGAGAGAGAGAGAGAGAGAGAGAGAGAGAGAGAGAGAGAGAGAGAGAGAGAGAGAGCATAATATACGACATTAATTTTATCTCGACAATGTGAGTATAGCTGGGACGTCGGACCAGTCATGGGACCGGCCTTCAGCAGTGACCTGCGTCGGGAGTCATCACCTTCGCCGGTCAGTAAGTGTGGCATCATCATCAGGAAACTTCTTCTTCCCCTTCTCCTCGTGATTCTTCTACGCCACTACATAGCGACTATTCTTCTTCTCCTTCTTCAGAGAGAGAGAGAGTATTATTGGGCCATGAGCGCCCAGCATCTGATTCGACATTTTGAGGACCGGCATAGGTTGGACATTTGACAAGACCGTTTTGTTCATGACTACGAGTTCTACTCGTCCTCTATCGCCCTCTTCGTCTTCGACTCTCCTCGCCCTCTTCATCATCCGTGGTTTCCTTCCCCATGTATGTGCTCAAGGAGGGGACCTTTCTTCTGTGTATGTCCCATTGTCTCCTCCTTGCAGTGCGACACATATGAAGATGATTGTGCGACTCGAGTCTGGGTCAGATGTGTCAGGTCATATCTTTGAGTCTTCCGCCGTGCTACATTGTATGATTTCATCATCTATCTGAGTACGCATTGCTTCTCCTTCTGCGCATTGTGTATTTGAGTCCTTGTTGTCACATTGGTTGTTCCGTCGGTCATTCTGGCATCCTTATCGTCACATTGGTTGTTTCATCGGTCATTCTGGCATCGCTCACCCATCAGGTGGGCATGCATCACACATGAAAGCCAAACACCATTAGCGTGTGCTCGAGTCTGCCAACCATCCCACCGCCGGTTTTAGGTACCCTCAGGGCCTCATATGAAAGAAAAGATGCTGCCCACCTCCACCTATATATCCCCTCAAAACACTACCACCCGTCACCGGCCAATACAGTGCACCGACCACTGCACCTATCGAGCACCCGACGACACCCTTCCCACCCATCTATCCACCCCTTCTAACCCCGCCTCTGCCCCCACAAAAGCCTCCCGACATGGACAACGTGCCTCAAAAAGAAAGTCCGCTG